CAATTTTGGAAGGTTGTTTTAATCTGTTAAAATGATTAAGCCCCTTTCTGTTCTCCCCTGAGTTTGTTTTCTTTGTTGTTGTTCCTTTGTCTTGTGCTTCTTTTGTTTTTTTAAGTTTTAACAATTAAAAACTGTCCAGAGTTGTTGGGGGTCAGGTGGCATATAAATTTAATAAATTATTATTATATTATTAATCAGTAATAGAAATCTGGATATGCAAATTGAGAAACTACAGGAAATGAGTGGAATATACAATAAGGTCACAAAAATCATCTTAAGCATGCTCAATTGGAATAAGATTAACATGCCTCTAGTAGTTAGTGGAACAGACATTTGATCCTCTATTCTTATTCATATGTAAATCTGTTTTGAACTGCAACAGAAAGGATTATTCATTTGTAGAGAAGATTGTTACAATTTCCTTTTTCATTCTGTCCTGCAGCATTATATGAAAACCAAATCAATGTGTTAAAAATGAATAAAAAAGCCTGAAGGTACTGATTGTTAAGAATTTTGAATTTTTTTCTCTCAGAACAAGACAATTAAAATGAAATTCACATTTATACAAAATACATAGTTTGGAACTGTAAATTTATGAGATTAGAGTCGAACTCAAAGCAGCTAAATTATATTGCTCTCCTGAATCAGAAAACCATCACTGTGAACTCTCCTGTCCCCCCACCCACCCCACTGCTAGCCTCTATGTTGCTTTTATTGCCTCTGCTTCCAGTCACTGTGGGTCCCTTGATTTCCCTCCAAGGTAACAGGTGACAAAGCCTAATAGATTTTTTTTTATATCTTGAGACTGTTCTGGGATGGTGTCCTGTTTCAGAAGGAAAAACTGCTCTAACATAATCCTGTCTCATTCAAGGGCTATGGAAGTGATAAGGGCAATATCAAAGGGTCATAGGAGAAAAATAAATGCCTGGAAAAGTTTGTGCTACTGTTAGAGGCAAGTGGGAAGAGTACTAATATCCAGGTGAATGTCTGCTTGACAGGCCTCTCTTATCCAAATACAGAATTCAAATCAACTCTCACTTGACCACTTTCTTAAGTGTCATTGCACTGCTGGGTTGCTTATTGTCATCATTATTTTTAAAACAAGGATGCATAACTGATCTGTAACGCTTTAGCTTACACCATAGGGATTGATCTGTTTTTAGCCTACAGAGTAGCTAAATTCATTCAAATGAGCTCAGAAATATACATATGTACGGATGGACAGACGTGCATACACACCTAGATTTCATGTCAGTCTTGACTCCAGGTGACTGCCTGGACAAATCCCCACTGGCCTATTCTTGGCAAGTTTTTAAAGTAGCTTGCATTGCCTTCTCCCCAGGGCTGAGAGAGAGTGACTGGCCGAAGGTCACTCGCTGGCTTTGTGCTTAAGGCAGGACTCAAACTCACAGAATCTTGGTCTTTAGCTTGATGTCTTAGCCATTATACCAAACTGATTCTCTGAGGTGTGTGTGTGAATTAATTGAAAAGCTGAAAAAGTGATAAACTAATATTAATGCTGTACATCAAGATCAAGAGGCTTGTTTGGTATCTTTGTCTCTGTATTTCAGTAATGTTTATGGGGTGATATCATAATTACAACAATCTATCTTGGAATATGTTCTGCTCTTAGATTGTATTTCACATAGATTTTATAAAGGAAGCACTAGCTCTGCTAGAGATATTTCATGAAGATATAATTTCATACTTGAAATAAGCAAACAGTATGGTCTATAGTAGGAATATCTGTCACCAATCCCAATTTTAATTCTGTTTCCAGAGAGGTAGCAGAGTTAGTCTCTTGAAATAACATCAACTTCATCAGGTGGTATTAGCTACAAAGTTTTGTATGATCATACATGGGTTAGTCTTCACTAACACACGTATGAGAAGGAAGGAAGGAAGGAAGGAAGGAAGGAAGGAAGGAAGGAGGGATCCTTCCTACAATGTGAAAATGTCAATTAATTCTGATACTGAATTTGGAAAGTATAGGGAACCACTGTCTGACAACCATCAACCCCCAAGCCGGATCCTAAGGAATATACAGAAAAATCCGTTGAGCTCGACTTCTCTTAAGCTGAGCGTTCTTCCAGCCGCCTATAGGCCCAACTGAAGGGACACTCCAGGTTTCTGGGAAAACCGGCGCTGGTGAGTAGCTCCCCCCTCCGGCCTCCGGCTGTAAATGATCTTTCGGCTCCTCCGCCTCCGACGCCGGGCTGTCCCAAGGCTGGAGTCCGCTGAGCCCTATAAATGGTTGGGGCGTCAGAAGTTCGCGGCCAGCGGTGCTGCAGCCCGCCAGAGAAGATGATGCGCAAGCAGTCTACCGGCGACGCCCTGACCTGGGGTTACAGCAAGGAAAACGGTGAGTGGGAAGAAGTCCCCAGCCGACGGCTTTCCATCCCGCCACGGCCCCCCCAACTGCCCACCCTCCAACCGAGCGAGGCTATCCGGGACAGGAGTCCCCCTCGCAGCTCCGTGGCTCCCGCAGCATTCAGCTGAACCGGGGACGGAGCCTTTCCCCAATCTCTCGGGAGTGGGATTCGGGTCGCTGCGAGAGATCGCCTTACCTGGTCCCTTGACTCTTTTTGATACTATCAAATAGGGCATAAGTTCTCAAAGACAGTTTTTCCCCATCAGGCTTTCCTTTTTGGGGTGCATTGCACGCATGATGGACCACAACTCCTATCATCCCCACTGAAAACCTGGCTGTAGATTTATTGGAGTTCTTGTTCATTCTGGTGAAGGATGTTTAAGAAATGTTGCTTGGAGTGATACCATGAAAGCAACTTGCAAAGGCTAAGGAGTTCTTCCTTAGATTGAATATACTTGGAAGCCAAATTAACCAGATTGTTTGCATATCTATTTTAGGAATGAATTTTGGACATTTCTGGATTTTTGATGGAAGACTGTCATTGTCTACTGCCTCATCCTTGTTAGTAAATGAGGATGTCAAAGACTGAAAATAAGCCCTTTTTGCACTACAAAATTACCTGCTTTCTTGGCTGGGAGACGAACAATTTTTATTTTTATTATCATAGGAAAATCATGTAACACTCTATCTTCTTAAAAGATTGATGTGTTTATCACATCTTTCTTCTAATGCTGGACTCACAGGAGACTTCCTGGCACTCACTTGTTGTATCCTGTACAATAATAATATTAATGATAATATGCCTGAAATTTGAAAGCATTCTATCTTATTGTTTTTAACAATAATTAGTATATTTAATTAGAATAACAGAGTGCCTTAACATTTCGAAGTGCTGAATAAAACAGTTTTGCTCAAATAATCATATATAACAATACAGTGGAGACTGTAGTATTTAAGTATTAAGCTTAAGATTGAAGCTTAATACTTAATACCATGTATAACAAACATATATATACATACATAGCATATACATGATACTATGTATAACAAATTGTTTGGTGCATTTTGCATTTGTCTTAATATGATGTTCGGTTTTAATTTAAACAACTTTATCCTGTCAATATTGGCATTTTAGAAATGATGAGTAACACTGAAATAAACAGCTTTATTTTTAAAAGTTTAAATTATCTAAGTATGAGAGTATCAATAATCTCCAGTCAATATTGTATACATTTCCATGGACTCAATATTTTATGTTTTATAATAATGCTGTAAAATGGAAAAGAAAAAAAAAAGAAAGAAAAATAGGAGAGCAAAAAAAAGAAATTTTGCACCAAGTGGAACATTGTTTGCTTATGAGTCTACAATTTAATAAATGCACTTGAAATAGAAAAGGCTTTCAGGAGGACTATTGTGGTAACTGCCTGATGGGTGAGATCAGGTTTCCCCCCTTGCTACAACATTCTTCTTGAGAGAAGGGGAAATTCTTCTATGTGGGAATGCCCATTTTCCCCAATTAATCATTCCCAGCCCAATAATAAGTCTTCACTGAAAGTGAATACACAACACTTTTCTCTACTCTAGTAGTACTCTGGTCGTTCCCAATCAGCAGGAAAAAACCTTTGAAGGATACTCCATTGGAGGAGGCAGAATTAGTCTGTGCACTCAGAATGACATTCCAGAACCTGTTTTTCACTTAGATCCCAGGCTTGAATATATAGCAATAAAAAACACGATTCACTGCTTTGTATAACACTGTGCCTCTGCCTACAATTAAGTGCTGCTATAGTAACTCTGCCACTTCTTTAAAATATATAGTTTTGCTATCCTACCTTTTCTAAATTAATTGCACTTGAATAAAAGCCTCTTTGACTTTAATGTGGCCTATTTTTAGTAGACATCAAAAAATTGTTGTTTTAAGATTTCCAGGGAATCACATTGGAACTTTATACTGCATATATGCAGAACTGATTTCCAAATGGATTTTTTACTTTACTCAAGAAAGTGGACTTGATAAAGAAATCTAAGCAGAATCCTTATTGTCCGTTATTCCTATGATGACCATACAGTCTTAACAATGTTCTTTGAAGTTTAAATAAATGAAAATTTTCCTAATACAGAAAGTTGATGGAATGTATTTAGCCACTTCACCCATTTTGCATTTAATTAGCAAAAGTTTATGCAGTGTGAAAATTATCAATAGCACTGCATGTTTTTAAATTTTTTTTTCTGCATGAATCTATATATGAAGGCAACCTCATTGAGTCTGGTGCAATTTCCTGTCAGATTATACAGGATTGCAGGCTTTGTTTTAAATTCAAATCTAGTTTTAATTTCTTGTTTTCTAATAAGGAATAGAAAGGGTGATTGAAACTGTAACAGCAGTCATTGCCTCCAAGATTTAAAAACCCTTTAAGAAGTAATTGTAAAGACTAAATCGTCTTGGGATAGGGCAGTGCTTAACATTGTTCATTTGACTTTTCCAGCCTCATGTCCTTCAGGTGTTGGAACAGGCATTGTAGCCATCTGGGGCTAGAATATCAAAATAGCTGAAGGACAACTTGTTGGGAAAGGCTTCTATATGGTACAGAATATGACACACCTTTGTCTTGGCATGTTTCCCTCTCAGGACCTGATCACTGGCATGAAACTTACCCCATAGCCAAAGGGAACAACCAGTCACCTGTTGCAATTCTTAGCAAAGATGTCTTCAAAGATCCTGCTCTTCTGCCTTGGTTTACTGGCTATGATCCAGGTGCAGCTAAGAACATAAGAAACACTGGGAAAACACTACGGATTGGATTTGATGACACTTTTGATCGCTCAGGTAAGTTTACTTTGGTAAATGTTTGCAAAAGTAATCACGGTTAAGCCTACAAAATCCTTGGTGTGAAATGATCTTCTAAGGAAGGCTTCATCTCCCAAACACAGAAACAGCTGATGGAAGATGAGTGATTTGTTGCTTATTGTGCTTGTTGGATTATTTACTTTCCTCTGCCTCTAGGGATATTTTCCCAATTTCGAGAGATATGCCATCCATGTCACTAGTCAATTTTCAGTAAGTCTGCAAACATTTGAAACCCAATGTTTTTCAGCAAAGTTGGGATTTTGTTCCTATTCTGTCCTTCAGTGTTTATTCTGTGTTGTAGAATGATAGATGCAGTCCTCCTGATTTTGCATCCCAATCTGATCACATGTAATTTAATTGGAGTGCATTAAAGTGGAGAGCCAGAATGGTGTAGTAGTTAAGGCATCAGGTTAGAAACTATAAGACTATCAGTTCTAGTCCTATGTTAGGCACAAAACCAGCTGGGTGACCTTGAGCCAGTTCTCCTCTCTAGAAAGGAAGCAATGGCAAACCACTTCCAGACTCTTGTGGAGAAAACTGCAGGGACTTGTTCAGACAGTTGCCAGTAATAAAAAAAAAACCTGGCTCAAAGTCTCCAACTCCCCACCCACCAACTCACTCACTAACTGTCAATTTTATTAAAAATCATAAGCACTACTGTATTTTCATGTCAGATTGATTGATAACATGCCATTAAGTCATTGTCAACATTTAGCAACTACACAGATCAATTTCCTTGATGGTCTGTCCCTAATCTGATCTTTCAGCTCCTCCAAGGGGTTGCATTCCTTGCTGTTGTAATTGAGTCCATTCACCCTACTGGTGGTCATCTTATTCTGCTCTTTCCTTTTGCCTTTCCCAGCCTTTTAAATTAGAACCTTGTTCATTATAATTTTCCTATTTTTTTCTTGCCTCTACCTTTTTCCTCTGCTTTCGCCCTTAATGGAAATGTGTATAATTTGTTTATATAAAGAGAGGGGGGGGGGGGAAGAAATCAATTCTGCCTTTTCTATTCAAAAGAAGGTAAAGCTGCTTACAAAGCAATCACAAAACAAGGAACAAGTCACAAGTGCAGAAAGAAATTTAAGAATAAACATAAAATAAGTCTTATAATGAACAGTTAGGTAAATGCAATAAACAATTTCTAGTCAGCAAAAATTCCAAACAGCCAAATTGTACATCAGTTGTAGCGAAGGCCCTGATTCAGTTCTGCTTGCTTTGGAAAGAATCCTACTCTATATTTCCAATAGTTTCATTTAACTATTTTAAAGGTTTGGAAGATGATTTGTGATGTTAATCTTTTTTGCCACAATATTGATTGGATTAATCCCTAGACTTGCAGTTCACATGGAAACAGCTTGCAAGAATGCCATTTTACTGTGATCTCTACGATTCTTTCCATATGCATCTGTGGTTATATATCAATATATCAAAATCTTCTCATTAGCCCATGGCATTGTCCATGAAGCTGATTTTTATTTTCTGGTATAGGGTGAAAGCAATAACCTTTTCTCAGAAAGTGGAAAAGGAGTTGCAGAACAGCAGTTTTTTGCTTTTAAAAGAAATGTTAGAAAACTGACCATACTTGGACCAATGATATGATTTTAAGGCTTGTTTTAACAGCATAGTTAAGATACAGTCCTCATGGACTGTAAGTGCTTTCAAATGTTTAAGGATTAGAACCCCTGCACACTCATGTACAGAAATGTATTTTCTTGCTTTTGTGTGTGTGCATTGCTGCAGTTTCAATGTAATATTTGTATTTTGTATTTTCCTTTATGTCAGTTCTTATCTACTCTCTTGTTGGAGTGAATTCTTGGCTATAAGGTTACATTTTTTCATTGGAGTACCTGCTATTCATGTTCTTGTGAGAAGGAACAAATCATGTGCCTTTTTGTTCCCTTTGTCACTTTGCATTGTATGGTTACAATAGAATGCATCCCTTCCTCATGTACTGTAGCCCTTGGATATTTTTTTTTTTGCATCATTACATTTAATTGATTATAATGTCCTTTTGTATGAGTGCTCCAGTACCACTAATCAAAATGAACAGAATTCCAAAGCTGAAAGGGAGAGACAGTGTTATTCTGGACTGGCCAACATCACAATGCCAGCTACAGAAAAGACAAAGCTAAGCCTTTTGCCCTATGCTTAACATATCTTTTATCCTTGAGTATTCAAGTACATAGATATTAATCACTGATGAGAGACCAGCAATGCTCTGACACAAAAGGTTGAGCTCTGTGGTAGCATTAACTCTGAAATTCCATGCTATTGCTGGCAGTCAAAAGACTTGAATGTTGCTTCAAACGAAGGCCCTCTTGGATTGCGGTAGTGATCAGCTTTCTGCCCACTGGAGTCGGGTGCTTTCTCCTTTTTAGGCTGCAAAAGAATGTGTGGCTAGAATCTCAGGAGGCCTAGAGTTAAAACTCATGGGCAGGGGCATTTTAGGTCAAAACTGAGATTTGTTTCCAGTATGCTATGCTAGAATAATCTCTTCTCTTTGAATTCAACATGACCTGAATTCATGAAATAAATGGCACTCTTGGGCATTATGAAAATGAGCAGTATTTTAGATAGGCATTTCCATCTCAGAAAAGTCCACCATATCATTGTCAAAAGTTCTTAGCTGACTTTATTGACCGTTATGTTCAAAGAACATGCCAATTGTCTATTTATTCTTGGACCTGTTAATTGCATTGTTATTGACATGGCCAACTGTGTTATACTGTTTATTTATTTTTAATCATAAAACAAAACTGCAAAGCCATCACTTGTCCCTAAGGGATGGCTGAGCTTCCTTTTTTTTTTCACTTGTGGTTCTCACCTGTTACTGTAAATCTGACAATATATGAAGCTTTTCAAAACTTTGTATCAATATAGTGTGGTCTTCCCATGACTTTATGTGAAGCGGAATAACATTCCTGACTTGATCAATCAGTGCCATTCACTGATACCACAATGTACTAAGGATTTTTTTATAATGAATTTTCAAAGTACTTCATACAAAATATTATTCAGTGTTGCAGTGTTTTTGTTAGGAACTGACAGAATTAGAGTACTATAGTTTGTTTTTTTTAAAAAAAAGGCTTTAAAAAGTTGCTTTTTTATGTGACCTAGACCAGGGGTTCCCAACTCCCGGGCCCTGGACTAGTATGGTCCTTGGGCTGTCAGGAACCAGGCTGTCCAGCTGGAGGTGAGCAGTGGGTGACTGAGCTAAGCTTCATCTGTATTTGCAGCCACCCCCCTGCCCTACGTAAACTGCACATGAGAGGGATCTAGGTTGCACTGGTCTGTGGAAAAAATGTCCTCCATTAAACTGATCCCTGGGGCCAAAAAGGTTGGGGAACACTAACCTAGACTATTGTCATAAAAATGTTGTCGTTAAGAAAAATGTATGGGTTTGAATTCCTCTCTTTTGCTGTGAGGACAATAGATGAGCATTTGAAGATTTTTATTGGCAAGTTATTAATAGATTTATTCCATGCCTGAAGAATGGAACATTTGTCTTTATTTTTATGCAGATAAATAGTAGCCAACCAAGTACATTAAATAACTGTACAGGATGGACAGAAAAGTACTTTTTTCACTATTCCTCCTTTGCAGCTGGCTTTCAAGTATGCTACATATGAATCAGAAAATAGAATACCCATTGATATACCAGGTCATGTGACTCCATATTCTTTAGTGTTCTTAGTAAAGAAACTCTTGGAACAAAATTGTCCTTCTACACTTATTCTCTTCAAGGCTGGCCCTATTGGTGAACAATGTGGAGTACTTGCTTCAGGTGACCGCAAGATGCATGATAAAATAATTGCATACATGGCTACCCTACATCCTGAAAAATAGCCTGTTTCCTTCATATTTAATAGATGATGAATGCTATTGGAATTAGTGTACACTTAGAAGATGCCATGTTATTTTTCTATTCAGACAGCACAAAATCACAAGGCTGCCTGTTTATTTTTCTTCTCTGTTAAAGAAGCAGCAAGCAAACAACAACAAAAAAGAAAAATATATATTCAATTATATAACTAATGAGAGGTTTAAGCAAGTCTGCAAAAAGGATAGTCACTGACTCCTTGGAAATTTGGTGGTAATTAGTCCATAGTCCAGTGGCATAGACATATAGGTTGGTAATAATGGCATCAAAATGTGAAAAATTAGACATAAGTACTCAGAGAAGTTATGAGCATTTTGGAAATTACTTAGGTACTTTCATGACTGTATCTAAAACTAAATACAATACATAGAGATCTAATTGTGCAGGAAGCAGTTGTGTGAAACAGCAGGTTTTTATAGCTCAGTTGAGTGCAAATTGAGAGAAGAATTTTATTGATATGTTGGAAATAGTTTGATATTGATTTTTTTCATGCAAATAATTTTTTTCCATAGTTAGAAGGCCATACTGTAGTAGTGGGCCAATCCATATCATATGACTTCTGTCCTGTCTGGTGCTTGCCTTGGGGATGGAGTGCACAATGCTGTTGTACAGTTCTGCCTATAAGTTCATTCACTGGTTGCATTTCCCTTAATTGACATTGACATTGAGACAGGGAAATATAATCTTAATAAATTAGACCTTCTTATCTGACTACAGAAGTGGACACAGTGTAGAATTACATTGTCATTATCTTGGCTTATGTGTTATACTGAGCATCTTTTAAAAATATGTAGGAGAAAAACTTCAGGAGGAAAGAGCCATGGCATCAGTACAGCAACACATACTTTTCTGAGCTGCTGCCTTTCACTTTCATGTTCCTTTATAATGGTATATTTTAATTACCTGGATCCTTTTCAATCAGGATTCAGACCTGGGAATGGAATGGAAACAGCATTGGTCATGATTTTGATCTCTAGTGTGGGTGTGAAGGTGGATGTGGGTCCATACTTACCTTACTTGGCCTCTCGGCAGCTTTCAGTATCCCTCTGGATTGATTCAAAAGACAGGGGGAGAGTGGCATGATGTTTGGCTGGTTTTCAGGGTTAATTCCAGTTGGTGGTGATTGGGGAAGAGAGATCCTGCCCTCAGGCTCCTATATGTGATATGCTCCAAGAGTTGGTGTTCTTTATCCTCCTATTTATCATCTACATGAGACACTGGGTGAGCTCATCCATTGCCATAGGGCAGTGTTTCCCAAACTTGACAATTTTAAGGCATGTGGACTTCAACTCCCAGAATTCCACAGCCAGCATTGCTGGCTGTGGAATTCTGGGAGTTGAAGTCCTCATGCCTTAAAATTGTCAAGTTTGGGAAACACTGCCATAGGGTGATGTATGATCAATATGCTGATGACATCCAGTTGTACATCTCTTCTCCTGACAAGTTTAGTGATGCTGGGGATGTTTTATCGCAGTGTCTGGAGGCTGTGAGGGTCTGGATGGGAAACAACAGATTTCAACTGAACCCTGGGAAGACTGATAGGCTTTGGATTTTGAGAACTCCTGGTAATGGAACTGTACCATCTTTGGTGCTGGATGGGATTGCATTATCCTAAACAGACCTTCTACACAATCTGAGGGGGTTCTCCTGGACTCATCACTCTGGTTCAGTGAGCAGGTGGCAATCTTGGCTAGCAGGACCTTTGCACAGCTTTGTTTTGTGTGCCAGTTGCGTCTTTTCCTGGATCAAAGGATCCTATTCATGGTCACTCAAGCCCTGATGACCTCTGAGTTAGACTGCAGCAATGTGCTGTGCATGGGTCTGTCCTTGATGAATAACTGGAAACTTCAGCTGCTGCAAAATGTGGTATCATGAGCAATTGTGTGTGCTTTACGAGCTGCATTGGTTATCTATGTCTTTCTGAGTCCAATTCACGATACTTTGTTGACCTTTAAAGCCTGTCATGGTAGAGGCTTGGTTTCTTGAAGATTGCCCATCTCTAACTGCCTGTTCCACCAGAATCTAGCAGAGAGAGTATGTTATAGGTTCTGTCAGCTAGGGAGCTAAGGGCCCAAAGTGATGGCCTTTTCTGTGGTGTGCCCACATTGTAGAATCTATTCTGAGGTGACACTGGCCTCATCACTTTCTAGTTTCACAATCCCTTAAGACCTGATTATGTCATTATTAACATCCTTTGCTGTTATTTCCTGTTTGTTCTGTTTTTTTATAATTTTAATTTTTTTATAATGTTTTTATAATTAATTTTTTAAATAAAACTTTTAAAATGTTTTTCTAATTAATAATGATAATTGTTTTTATGTATTTAAAACATACTAACTATTGAGGAGATATTCTCTATATTGAGATCCTTACAAGGTCCATAATTGCAAATCAGAAAAATCCCCTACAGAATCATCTGTGAAAATCAGCTTGAATCCAGGTGCCCTTGGTGATGAGGAAGAGAGCCACACATTTGCCCCTAAAGCATTTCCGTATCACACCAGCCTAAGACTTATATGGAAACTTACTGACATATTCCTCAATGATTATAAATAACCCCGCCTTAGTAGATCCCATGCAGGATCATCATAATACCTGAACTCCACATCTGAGAACACTGAATGAAGTTGCCGCGATGCAAGTACTATTGGATGGTGCCAACTTTGTCACCAGAGAAGTGGATTTCCATGAGCAACCACAGGATTTGCTTGGCAGAGGTCCTGCTGACCTTCTCTGGTTCACCATCCCAACATCATGCTCTTACAACATTGGCTTGCCAAAACCTGCTTATATTACTCTTACCAGATGCTCATGTGATCTCCCTATTAATTTGGAATATAGCAGGCTGGTCAGAACTATTAAAAGACCATCCTTTCTTTGATTACGTAATGTGATTTGATACATTTTTTTTTACAAGAAACCTGGGCCTCAACAGAGGTGGAATAGAAGTGGCTGGGCAAATTCAATCTTGGTTACCCCAAGTAAAGTGGGAGGAAGATCCAAGGGAAACATTGCAACCCTAATTAGTACAGCTTTACAACTGAAATGTGTTCCTCTGCCTTCCTAATCCTAACCCTAATACTCCTTTCTCTTCCTATTTTCCCTGCAACAACACTGGGAGGTAAATTGAGAGAGAGAGATGGCTTTCATGCCTAAGGCAAGATTAGAACTACACTCTTCTAGTTTCTATCCTGGTGCTTTAATAATGAAACCAAACTCTATTTGATTTATCTTTCATATTGCAGTATTTTATTTTTTGCTGTTCATCAACTGAATAAAGTGTTACATATAGGAAACTTCCAAATACTTTTCTGTGATATGAAAAGTTACCTTACATTTCAGATCCTTTCTAGTTACTACATATAGTTCTTCATTAAGTGGAAAGACAAGATTTATAGATAGGAAGGATATAAATTTGGGCCAAAGGCCAGTCTAACCTAAGATGCAAAAAGTTAATTAAATCAGAAGTGACAAATGTGTGAATTCAGTCATACTGCCTGTTCATAATTGGCATCTACTGTTAGATGACAATTTGTATCTTGTACATGCATTGTTCCTAATATTGGCAAAATATCATGGCAAAACACTATAACACTCAATCTGATGATCAGTTGGGTGTGGGGGAATAGCATGGCTCTGGCCAAAGCAATGGACATTGTTCTTCTCCATCAAAATATTTCCTAGACTATTTTCAGTTATGGCTAAACCAATCACTTGATACAACTTGGAATATTAAAGCAGAAAAGAAGGATACTAAATGTCACGACATATACCTTTCAACGTGCTAAAGGTAGGTGGTTGACCAAAGATGCCCTGTCTTATGAACATTGGATTGGAAATGCAGTGGAAGATGAGACGTCCCCTTTGCCATTAGTAATATTGGCAAGAGATGCTCATAAATGCTCATCTTACTTTATGGTTGTACCATGTGTTATAGCATAGCAAAATCTCCTGTTAATCTAGACTATTCTTTGCAGTGATTAGGGGAGGACCACTTCCTGGGATTTACAGGCTCCGTCACCTTAACATCCACTGGGGTTCTACCAGTGACAAAGGCTCAGAACATGTGGTGGATGCAAAAAGGCATGCAGGAGAGGTGAGTAGGTTCTGTGGGAAATACTGGAAGATCTCCCCTTATCAGTAGAAAACCAGGTGCAGATAGTCTAATAAAGGCTTAGCAGAGATGGGAAGCCAGTTGTCCGCTAGATGTGGATGAATTGCAGTTTCAATCAGGTTCCACCGGGGTTTATGGTTGGTGGCCAGAGATAAAGGACATCAGATTTAATGTTCCATGCATGCTTTCAGTGTTAACATGTTAAGTCTTTGAATTAATTTGTCCTAGGCAAATAAACAAGTTATTTCTTCTGGTGAATAAATAATAATTCAAACTCCAATTGACAGATGAAAATGGATCACAGAATAGGGTTGGATCTCAATTTGAAAGTTCAGATGTGTTCTTTTCAAGACTCCCAAATGACCAGAGAATATAAGAAGACTGGGGTAGTAGCATCAATATCTGTGTCAGTATACAGATGAGGATATCTACTGTATATAACCAGCATATATAGTGATTGATGCAGCATTCTTTTTTAAAATGAAAATGGAAATTGGCTGGGCACATTTATCAAAACAGGTGCTAATTACATATATACATGTAGATACATATGCATTTATTCATAAAAGATGTCCTGTCTCAGAATATGTAATATGTAAAAAGTCTATATATACTTATTTGTCAGTCGTTACAACTTGATATGTTGAAAGCACGACTAATGGGAATTTTTATAGTATTTTGATGTTATCCTGAAGATAATTAAACCATGGGTGTTCAATATATTTTATATGCTTCCAAAGGTATGTGATGACTCATAATTTCAGATCTGCTTGGCCATTGCTCATATTGTCTGAGAATAAGTATTATAGTCTGGAAGATGTTCGGTTGGAGAAAAATGGTAGTATCAAAACCATTTAATTTAAATTTGGCAATTTTGTGTAATCTTACCTTTTGACCCTATCATTTTAAACATTTTTTCTAAAAGAACAAAAATAATTAGATAATGCATAATACAGTTTGTATGTTTCTGATTTTTAACATTTTCATTTCAGTGATTTTCATTGATTATCTAGGTACTAAGATTCAGATAGATATTGGGAAATGCAAAGAATTTTATGAAATTTTGCCAAGTTCCATTAAGACCTGTTTTGATATCTAACTATAATGTTTTCCTTGCTTTTAGATTCATTTGGTACACTGGAATTCCTCATATAGTAATTATGCTGATGCTTTGAGAAAAACTGATGGGGCGGCTATTGTAGCCATTCTAATGCAAGTAAGTTCTGATTGCTATTTTCTTATGCATATTTTCACAGTAATTTTCAGTTGTGGCTCCAAAAATCGTATCTGTTTTGGACATTGATGCTATCTGTTTTTCACCATGCATATCATCTTTGTGCTGTTATGGACCTTAACATACAGAGTGCCGACACCTATCTTCTACCTTCCTCTACTGTCCCATCATATGCCATACTAATGGACTGACTGTACAAGCTTATCTTTCTAATTTCTAATGAAGCTTGAGGAAAGAGTCCACCATAGTATTCACAGTGTCCCTTAATACATGGAATACTGTGTGAATGTTCTTCATTTTCCAAGGACTGGATGTACCACAGTGTAACAAATCTGTATACAGTGTTTTGTTATAGTTAACGCCTTTTCCAATAATAAGCTATTAGTCTGGGTTAACTCCAGTCTTCTTGGCTTTTCACCATATAAATGTGTCTTTAACACTTAATCTTTTATATTCAGTCCTTTTCATATTTGGTTGAAATAAAAGTCTGTAAAGTGGCTTACAGTCTTTGTCTATTGTAATAGTTGGGATGAGATGCTGCCTTGGTGTGGATGCTCTTTTCTAGTTGCTGCTGAGTTCCAGGCCAACCTCCAGGCTCCAAGCTCTGCTCTTAAGCAGTGTTGTTTTTGAGTATTCCAGCTGAACTCCCAAGCTGAGTTCCTGGAATTCGATCAGGATGTGCTGCTTACCATAGCTTGTGGTTCTGGCAATTGAATGGTAGTCCTGTCAATCTTCAGACATCACCTCCCGCTCTCTCGCCTGCTTGCTGTTTTCCTATCTTCTTTTCTCCTACATACCCATACCCATTCTTAGAATTGGCTTTGGTAAGCTTCCTCTATACAACTCTTGAAAATGCCATGGTGCAGCTCAATTATTGCAGGCAGGTGAAACATAAGTTTGTATGCTTGTGAATAAAGTTGTGAGTTGAAGAATGAGGAAAAAGGAATGAGAAGCATTTATGCCTGGCTGCAGTTAGTTTTCTCAACTTCATCATTTCTCAGCCTTTGGCTAACATCAAGTGTAGTATTTCAATTCCTCTCCCTCATTAATTATAATTATTATAACAGTAATAATTACAATTAATTATTGTTATGTAGATTTATACAATTAAAACACAATTATAGTCATGTTGCTATATTCACACGTTGAAAAATCTTATAGCTGTTTCTTTGAATGAAAACTTGATGGAATGGAATTAAGTTACTGACTGGAGAGGAATAGATTGTATTGCTATATACACCTGGAATTGCACATCTGTCAAATCTCAGAAATTTTCTTTTTCTTATTCTCTTCTTCTTTTAGAATTGTTTATTTATTTTAATCCAATAACATTTGTAGGTTCTTTCAATCCACATAGATTCTTAGGGATGTTTAATGGTTGAAAACAGTATTCAGTTAAAAATAATGATCTTTAATAATATTCTGCTATAATGACTATCCAAACAAAATTGCAGACCCCAAATTCCTTGGAACAGTCCTACTTCAAACTTGCTTCTTGAAAGAAGGAGGATTGGTGTTATTGAGTTCAATTGGTCAGGTCATAATACCTTTTTCGTGTCTTTGTACTAGATGTGAACTTATTGTTTTGTAAATAGTAGAAACAGTTTATTAGTCATATTCAGTTTTGTTACAATTTAAGGCAATAATTCATACAGAGTATTATTAGTAATTAACATTTGTACTTTAGAAATATGATACAAAATTCATACTTGATACATGACCCCACCAATTGAACGCAACAACACTAATACTTGGTATTTTGAAGAAAATCTGTACAGATCTTGATAAGAATGTTTAGTACTTTAGAGAGGCCTCCTCCAAGCTGGTGACTTCTGCATGTTGAATTTGACATCTCCAGCTAGCATGAAAAAGAGCCACACTTGCTGGGGTTTATGGAAATTCATTCAACATATCTGCAAAGCAGCAAGAAAGCTGCCTTAAGACATAGGAAGTTGGCTTGGATACTGCAGAGTCGATCATTAGGTCAGCTTTCCCTAACCTGATACTATTAAGATGTGTTGAAGTACATCTCATTGTGCAGGGGTTAGAATACAGTATTGCAGGCTAACTCTGCTGACTGTCAGCAGTTCAATCCTGATCAGCTCAAGGTTGACTTAGCCTTCCATCCTTCCGAGCTTGGTAAAATGAGGACCCCAATTGCTGGGGCAATATGTTGACTCTGTAAACTGCTTAGAGAGAGTTGTAAAGCACAGTGAAGTGGTATATAAGTCTTATTGCTATTGCTGTCTCCCATTATTCTCAGTCTAAAAATATAAAGAACTATTATGGATGAAGACTGCAGGATCTGTAGTCAAACACAGCTGGAGAGCATCAGTTAGCCAAAGATGAATTTGTGAATATTTTCAATTATTTTTCACTTTCAGCACCACTGCCAAAATGTTTTCTGAAGTCTAGAAACACTCACTGAAATTAAAACCATACTACAGTCATTCAAAATAGAGCATCATTAAATAACACCAACCAATGTTATTCTCTTTTTGTTTGTATACTTAGTATTATTGGTAGGAGTTGTAAGATATTCCCCAAATGTTGCTACTTCAATGGACATATGGGATAGTTAACAACTAATTCTGTATACTATTATAATTTGAGAGATAATCACCTTTCATGCCTGCTCACTGTCTGTTTTCTGTATGACAGGTAGGAAAAAACCCTAAGCCAGAGATGAAAAGAATTATTGAAGAAATAGATGGTATTAAAACAAAGGTATGTAAAAGAACATTCTAGTCAGTACCAAAGCTTTCTAACATGGTCAATCTAATATGTTTCAATAAAGGGAGACAACATACTTAGATAATGCATAAAAATATGATATTATGAACATATGCCAAACTACAGTATGCTTAACTGTGATTTATTGAATGAGACAATTAGCTGGCTTCATACTAAGCCATGCCATGCATATGAAGCTCAATGATTGTATTTACACAAAATGTCAAGCAGTATGAAATGAACAAGGTTATGGTTATGAGTGAGATATGAATCTTCTGTAGCAACAACTAGTACTGAGAACTAGCACGAAACATATGGACAATAGGAATATTGTAACAAATCTTTAAAAAAAGAATAGCTGACAATTTCCCATGGGAAGTTTAATGAGAGTGGAGCAAGTAAGAGATTATTTAAAGGAAGATTTTCTAGACACAGCAGTCTTGATTCAGAAGTAAAGCTTCTCAATTGATTTTGCTCATGAGATTCTCTTTATTGCCTTTAAATTGAAAGTTGGGGTGGTTTTTTTGGTCAGAAGAAGCAATTTGGACTAATATTTCATTTTTATTATGGATCCAGATTTCAAACTACTTGGGGATACTTAATAAAATCAATGCAGACTTAATAAGGTCAAGGTATCTAATATTAGGTAAATCTGGAATAACTTTTGACTGATGATAGATATTAGAATAAAATGTTTATTAATTTTATTATTCTGTGATCTCAACTACACCTTGAAGCTATCTATACCAGTGATCATCATTATCCAGCTGTAATAAAGCTTTTGTAGAGAGCTCTTTTGTCTCTGCCACTGAATTTAATTATGTTATTTCTGATTTATTTAAGGGAAAAGAGGCTCCTTTTCCAAACTTTGATCCATCTATCCTCTTCCCTCAAAATCGAAGTTACTTTACTTATCAAGGTTCTTTTACAATGCCTCCATGTGAAGAGTGTGTTACCTGGATTATTATGAAAGAGCCTATAAGTGTTGATGAACAGCAGGTAAATTAGAAATTAGAGCAGTTATTTTTTATATATATATATACATTATGCAAGTTTAAATATGCCTGTGCTCATTAGTAAGTATAATCTTGCTTTACCAAAAATTATATACATGATTCTGATATATTGTGTTGCTGTATTCATGAGAAATATTGGACAATTTCTAAAGGAAATGAATCAGAATGATAAGCAAAGACCTAAGAGCATTTTACAGGTAGTCCTTGACTTACAACAGTTCATTTAGTGACCGTTCAAAGTTACAATGGCACTGAAAAAAATGACTTATGACCCTTTTACACACTTATGACCATTGCAGCATCCTATGGTCATGTGATAAAAATTCGGATGCTTGACAACAATGATTGCTGTGTCCTGGGGTCATGTGATCATCTTTTGTGACCTTCTGACTTGCAAAGTCAATGGGGAAGCCAGATTCACTTAAAAACTGCTTTACTAACTTAAAAACTGCAGTGATTCATTTAACAACCGTGACAATAAAGGTTATAAAATGGGGCAAAATTCACTTAACAACTGTCTCACTTAACAATAGAAATTTTGGGCTCAATTGTGGTTATAAGTCAAGGACTACCTGTATAACATCATAGAATTGTGGAGTTAGAAATTAATCCATTCTTCTGCAAGTGGTAAGAAAATCAGTTAAACCATTTTTTAAACAAACTTGCGCCCTCAGTAAGTGGTCTTATTCCACTATGTTAAGTAGGGATTTTAAGATCAGGAAGTATTTTCTTATAATTGTGAAATCTAGGAAGCTACAGCTTGTACTCAGTATTTCTGATCCAATTTGTATGGAAAATAATCGCTGACCATCTTTTCTATACCATCTTTTTATATGTACTTGAACATTGATATCATGTCTCCCCTTAGTCTTCTTTTTGCCAGATTTAACTCTTAAGCTCCTTTAATTTTAAGTTCCTCTGTCTCCTTTGAGGATTTTAATTTGTCAGTTTTCTTCTGAAAATGCAGTGTTCGGAATTCCAAGTGTGGCTTCAACAGCACAGAGGGATGCAGAATAAGGACTTCATGAGTTTTTGATACAAAGCTTTATATGATGTAGTCCAAAACTGTCTTAGTTTTTATATCTTTCAAGCAGGGAGATAGAAAAATTCCACTATGAAGTCTGGGGTGACTTGCTCCTAATGGACTTTATAGCATTAAATGAATTCCAGCTAAAACCCTTTTTGTTCAATAAAAACAGGAGGTTGGCAATTACACTTACTTTGTGATGCTATAAAGAGAATTAGGGGAGGATATCTTATTTTTCAAGTAAATGGAGTAGAGCTAAACTCCAAGAGGCCCCATTTTTACTGGTGCTTATTAAAGTGTCCAACTGATCACATGACATTAAACCTTACATAGACATTCTAGGAAGCAGTGCTGCCATGAAGAGATTTTTATCAGCAGATAAGCTCCTTTCTTGCAGCAATGGGAGATCACCTGATCAGTGTTACCTTTGACATAAGCCCTATAATGAAAAACTCTATAATACTTATATATTAAATTTATTTATTTATTTATTTATTTTCAAATATTTATATGCCGCCCAATCCCAAAGGACTCAGGGCAGCGTACAAAGTAAAAAAATAAAGAACCTCCAAGTCCCTCAGTTACCTTATAAACATAAAGTGCACACCCACCTTAAATCAATACAACAATGTTTTTTTTCAAAATAAGATCTTTTTTTAATGGACTTAATAAAGCTTGCATATCTGTATCGGTATCAGTATCTGTATCTATATCTATATATCTATATCTGTGTTATTGATTTTTTACAGTAACAATCTTTGGTGCTTGGTAAACAACATGTTGTCTAAATTCACATATTTAACAATGATTAATAGTAATTAATTTCTATAATTCCATAGTTAACATGTTAGATAGTAATATACTTCCTTAATTCTCTTCTTCCAGTAATATTCTCATTTTACCAGCATTAAGCAAATACAGTTCTTGATACTATTGAGACATACAAAATTAGATATAGACATTTTTCTAGTTTTTATACAAATAACAATAATATCAGTATATAACATCTTTTCTAATCAGCTTATGTTTCAGTTGTATTTGCAATTAAGGTCTTCTTATTGAATCAATGTAGATCCTGTTTTTCAAGCTCTTATTTAAATTTAGTTTCCTATCAGTATTCAAAATATTCTTGTCAGTTATGATTTTCTCAAAGTTAGTTACATTTAAATGTCCAGACATTTTCACTCACATAAGCCATCCCAATATTTTTACATTTCCCATATCATAAAAAAGTGCTGTTCTAATTATAAATCATATCCCTCTTACTATAAAATCCATTGATATCCAAAAGTTATCTATTCTTTTAATCATATTCAAAAAAATGTTTGGTCATGTAATACCCCATCTGGTAGGTCAAATAATCTGTTCTCTTAAGCCTAACTCTAGCCTTCTTCCTTTGCCAAGCCACTTTCCAAGTCAGTGTATTCAAATCACCAAGGATTTTTTCTGTATTTTTATGGATGTTGTTTAGAAAGGGAGAGACAATTTAGGTGGAGTATTTTTGAGGGGGAATTTTGCCCATTTGTATTCATTAAACCACTCCCACTTTTCTTCTCCCTCAACTTCTCTTTTCATTTTTTGTCTCCCAAACTCTAGTGATTCTCCTGACAACTCTATAATCCATTTTATCAGATCTTCTTTCTTGTCCTCGGGTATATTTTGAAGTCCTGAAAGATAAGGTGCCTTTTCCATTTCCAGTATTATAATAAAATCTTGTAGACTTTTCTTTGCCCTGTGCCAGACTGTAATTTTCTTTATTTGTAGCTCCAACTTTTGGTCATTTTCCTCTGGTTTATGTTCTATTTTCTGACTTGTTTGTTCATTCTTTGTCCTCATTTTCTGAGAGTTTTTTTAATTGTAAGCTTAGATTAAGAACTTGCTCATTTATGCTGTTTAGATTGTTTTTATTCTCATCATGTTTTTTCTTGTGTCTTTATGTGAAAGAATTGTCTTTTGAATTGATTGCAGTATAGCATGGATTTCCTCCTGGAAGTGTTTGCCTTGTCTTGAGGTGTCACTCCTACAGATTCCTGATATACCGGGCTGGGGGCTTTAGATGAAAATATTGAATGTGGTTTTCTACTACTTTTGGTTAGATATGCAGCATCCATTTTATCTTCCCCCTCAGATATTCTATCAAAAATACCATAATCCTTGAGTATTAGCCCTATCTAATACAACCAGTCTTAAGGTCCATGCAGCAAAGTCTTGTATAGTTCTTATGGTCTTTATGTATGACCTTTATAATCCAATGTGTTCCCAGTTGTTAATCCACCACTAAAAGCAATATTTTATAACAGGTCTTCTGCTCAGGGGTCCAACAATTATCAATCAGCCAAAGTTTGCAGTCCAAAATATTCAACCACCTAAGAACAGTCCAAGAGCCCCTAAAAAAGTAGCCAAAAGTCAAGTTTTTTCTTTCTCTGCAAATAGTTCTTAAGCTTAAAAATCAAAGCTCAGTAGATGTTTATAATCCAGGAAGGTCAGCAGTTTTTATAACAATTGTAGTTCTCACTCTGTGGTAGATAACCCAATGTATTTTTCTCTGTTCCTAGCTGTTCTCTATTAAACTAAGAGTCACTGGGGATCAAAGGAACAAGTTGTTATCTGTTTCTGGACATCTTGCCAGTTTCTCAGTCAAGACAGTTGTAGTGCTATTCTCTAATCCACCACTAGATGTCATTAGATATTCATTTTCCGACTTTTTAAAACAAAAAAAAATATTTTCTTGTAGTTTCTTCCCAATACTCTTTCAAACAATTTCCTCAGTTTTGTTTGTCCAAACTATAGCTTTTTATTAGTTCTACTTCAATGTATTTCTGTCCCCCATAAAAATTAAAATGCTGCTTCCTATGGAAGGGTGGAGCTGCAATCCCTTTCCTTCTTATTTTCGGAGGGTTTTTTTTGCTTTTTGGGGGGTCTTTTCCAGGCAATCCAGCTGTAAAATAGAAGAGAAAATATTGATATTCTCACCCAATTCCAAACACGTTGTTCACAATCTGTTCTAGTTGGTGCTTTTTTTTGTTTCAGTTGTCTTAGCTAGTCATGGAAGTGCTGCTAGCCTTTCTCCTGCCAGTTTGGAGGGCTTTCCCCAGATCAAATGGATCAACTGCCATCTTTCCATGATCGACACGGGTCCCCTCCTTCTTTACCATCTCTCCGGGATAACTTTAGACCCATTTAGGGTTCCCTGGCAGGGCGAAACCAGCCGTGGGGTATGGAGCCCTGCAATCCCTTGGCCGTGTCGCTATGATACAAACTGGAAGTCCAAAGTTTGCATATCTTGAATCTCATATTTTAATTCAGTCTCATAAAAGTGGTTGGAAATTTTATTCTTTCTAACAGATAAAAGAGTTTTTTTTATTTAGACAACAACACTATCCTTTATCAATTCTATTAGAGAAAGAAGCACTCAGAAGAAATCTAGTCTAATCTAAATCTAATCTAGAATAGACGACTGGATAGTTATAGAATGTTTTTAAAAAGAATCAAATAAGTAACAGGTAAGAGTTCATTTCTACTTGGGTGAGAAGTTCACTAGAAAATAAGCCAAGCAGAAGTTTACAGAACAAATACAACAATGGTTCTATTGCATTTTTTTTCCCTTGAACAAAGTCTGGCAATTTTTAGGAAATTATCTTTCTAGTATCTTTTGAATGCTTTTTAAGATCATTTTTAACTAAATTTGTCTTAGGAACATCTTTATTTTTCCTTTTCATAGATGTTAAAGCTGCGTAGCCTTTCTAGCAATAGCGCAGAAGATATTCATTGTCCTTTAGTGGACAACTGGCGGCCTCTTCAGCCTCTCAATAACAGGATGATACGATCAACATGTCAATAGAATCTTTACAGGAGTAAAGAGGAGTCATGAAGATCTAAGGTTTTGCACTCATATTGTATATAGGTGGTTCTTCCTCTGGATCTGTGCTGTTGAGCCAAAAGTTTTAAGCAATGAAGCAGGACAACTTACTAAATGAATCTAACTTCCTGAGGGGGGAAAATAATTATAGTAAAACTTTAATTTGTCTATCGATATGTTGGACCTCTCTTTTCAGAAGTCATATACTACTTCATGATGTTACAGAGACTGAGCAGCATGTATCAAATGCTTCCAATTGCTCAGCCTTACTCATTTGGCTGTTCCTGCCCACTGCCCTGGCTAAACTGTTTTCTGCAACCAGATGTCTTTTCTATGTGTGGGACTCCAGCTAACAGACATCTGACTATTGCAGTTATAATATGCCTAAGAAGTCAAGTATTGTTTTTAACTTCAGAATCTGGCTTATGAGTATTGCAAAAAGTCTTTTATCTGATATAATGATAAACGTTCTGTGATTTATTTAGCCATTCCCACTGGAAGGAGAAGCCATCAAATAATAGATCTATGCACTTGCTGAGTTGCTATAATTTCCCCATATTATAGTGATAACCAAACCAGCTTTATGTAATCTTGAAATATTTTTCTTTTCCCCTTTCACAATTTATTAAAATGTTCTTAATTTAAAACTGGTCAAATTCCAACTACCTTCTATACCAGTTGAAATTGGTGAAAGAGGATTTTTTTTCAACAATAATCCTATATGCCTTTAAAGGTCATAGACAAAAAAATAACATTCAAATTCTATTTTTATACCAAATTTCCTTGAAAGGCCTATTGATTTTAGGAAATTTGACTTTGAGAAAATATGTGCAGTTAAATAATAAAAAAGAAAACCCCCAGCATATTAATATATTTACAGTATTTATTTATCCTTCTTGAAATATAAATTAATATCTTCAAACAGAAGACAGGATGAGATATAAAACTTATATTCTATCCTATAATTGTGAAACTTTATTTCACGTTAATAACTATGAATATTTTGAACATCTTAGATTTGCTTAATATGAAGATAATCTCAGAGAATTAAAAGCACACTTTTTTCTTGAAAGGGGAAAAAAGTATGATGTATTTGGTTTTTAGTTGTGCTTTATTGTTCTGTAGCATACCAAAAAGTAATATTCTGATCTTATCCTGATTTGATTATTTAGTCATTCATTTTGTGGCAATGCAGATAGTGTGCATTATATTCAGAATTGCTGTTATAAATGGAAAGAAATTTCATAATGCAATGAGATTTACACAGATCTCATTTTAGATTTGAAACCAATTATGAAATGGAAAATATAATATATCTGGACTTTTCAATGTCAATTACATTTTTGAAAAAAAACTTTTATATCTCCTATGTATATATAATTAGTAATTTATAAGCGTCAGAGTATTTTCCTCAAATTTTAAATAATGGATTGTTTCCTTCCAAATTAAAAATAAAATCTTTGTCTTTGCATTAATTATTAATAAAATGTTGGCTTGGGTTGATTTTCTTTCTTGCTTTGGGTTTTGCTTTCCAAGAAAAGCAATTCAAATTGTACTGTATGATGGCAACATACTTGCTTTTGTAAAACAACAAAAATAAATCTATTTCTTTCAGAATCAACATTTTTTTCTGATCACATAATTTGAAGTCCTGAAAAGTATGCTTTGTGTTTTTTTTTAATAGATTGAAATCTAAGTTTGGTGTCCTCCATCAACAGACAATGCACATGGACTATTTTAAAAACAAAAAGGAAAAACCAAAAAATTACAAGGTGACAGGTCACGAAAATTGTCCATACTTGTTTACTTCATTTTACTCCATAGGACAGTTTTCATTTTTTTTTAGTAAGTTAAACCTTTAAGAAATTTCTTTCTAAATATTGCCTGTCAGATTCTCCCCAGAGGTGAGAAAAAATACATTTATTTATAAATATATTATAATTATTTATAATCCACATTTAGCAACCAAATTTCAACTCCACATTTGCTGAAAATATGTTATAAATCAAGCCTATTTGCTATATCATCTGCTTTTTCTAAAGCAACAATCATAAATAAATTTTATGTCCATACAGTTTTTGATGACTTGATCAAGAACTAAATTTGGGAATTTACACTGCAATTCCAAAATTTTGCTTATTGTCACCTCTTCTACTCTTTCAAACACAATCCTCCTGTAGCCTTTGCATTCACCATTGCTACATTTCCATTTGTATATGGGAACAAAACCAAACATATTACAAACATCAAGCAGAAAGAGGCCATCAACACCTATTTGAAAACTTTCACCAGCGAGGAATTATTATAGGTAAACTCTTAATCTGTTAAATAGCGCTTACCATCATCATATTCTGCTTGAATGTCCTCCTCATCCCCAATTCAAGCCACTGGTCCTTGCTCAGTTTCCAAAAAGAGCAGACCCACCTTTTCTTGTATGTGAAATATTTCACATATTTCTTAAGTACTGTTATATTTCCTATTAGGCTTGTTTTTATAAGGTAAATATACCTAGTTCTTTAACTTTTCCTTATAGGATGTGATTGTTTATTCTCCTAAAGCTAGCATGTTACAGCAAATCACTAGTCACTTGGACCTGAACAGGCTAAGAGCAAGACTCACAAGATTACGTAGATCTTATAAGGTTTGTAGATCAAAGATATTTTGAGTATATGTACACACTATAGAAGATCTTAACTAGAGAAAAATTTGCTTTAGAACTGTCTATGGAGATTCTCAGTCATCCAGGTATGGTTGTCCCAAAGATGCTTTTCTCAGGAGGCAAACTGGACTTTCTTGTGGTGTGTCTTTTGAAGACATTTCACTTCTCATCCAAGAAGCTTCTTCAGCTCTGAATAGATGGTGGGGAGTGGAAGGATTTATATTGCTTACAGACAGATGATCATTTGCATTCCTTTAGAGCAGGGGTCTTCAAACTTGGCCCTTTTATGACTTGTGGACTTCAGCTCCCAGAATTCCTCAGTCAGGCATGCTGGGAGTTGAAGTCCACAAGTCATAAAAGGGCCAAGTTTGAAGACCCCTGCTTTAGAGAGCCATTGAAACCATTTGGAGGTTTACCTGTGTCCTCAGGGTCACCTGGTGCAAATGTGTGTGGAGCCTTCTTGGCTGCAGGATGTTTTCTGCCCTGTGTCCCTTCACTGAATTATGCTAATGCTGAATTTTCTTGCTTCTGGAAAGAAGAAATAATAGGTATTTCAAGGATTTCTGAAAGACCTATATGTGAAATGTTTTTTTTTAAATTAACATTTGGAAACAGGCCCATTTGTATCAGTGCAAAAGTAGTTTACTACTTACATGGGAATGCAAATTTGTCATATTTTTGGCAACCATTCATCATGGAATATTTATCCTCCTGTATAATTTCAGTTATAAGAATGTTACTATTATTGTTGTCATTTTAGCTGGAAAGAATAAAACTTCAGCTTTATTCAGTTATGACCTTTCCAATTTTTACATTTGGGTGAGCAGCTTGTCTTCACTGATAGAAAGTCTCCTAGATATAGTTGATGATATCTTGGCTTAAATATCTTTAATTAGACCAATGAAATGTAATAAAAACAGTGCTCTTCACCTCTCCAGAAGCTGTTTTGTAGTGAAACATGGAGTCTGAATTTAGCCTATATTTAGTCACTTTATCTTAATAAATGCTTTTTAAAATTATATTTGATAGACATGTGGATTATATATTCAAGTACTAAAATTCTGTGCCACATACTGAAATGCATTGATTTTTTGGCATTCGTTTTAGGTTTGAGTTTTCCATAAAAGACTAGGTCTTTTTGACAAAATTACAGGGTATTGTAGGAAGTGAAACTTGCTATATCATTTAGCAGTCCTTATACTAAAGGTGATGTGGAGGCTAGAACAGGTCAGTATCCATCAAACAATTAGAAAAGCAGCTCAGTTGCACAGCTATTAAGTTCCTGTGTACTTTGTTTCATGGCCAGTAGGTGGTAGAAAATGACAAGTATCTGAACTTTGCATAGACTTAAATTGAAAGCAGAAATACTGTAGTTTATAGGAAAAGAGCTGGAATGGGTAACAGAAGAGATTGTGGATCTAAGACAGGACAGTCCAATAGTCAAAGCTAACCCAACGTGGCTTTGAATAATAGAATAGAGGTCAGGTTATATGGAATTTAAGATTAAATTAAAAATTTATGGAAAAATGTCTCTGCATCTGTCTGTATATTCAAAAGTGTCGTAAGCAAATCTGTATCAGTGTACTTTGTTGCAAAAAGCAAATGTACTATAAAATAATACAAGACTTATTATTCTGGATCAGCTCAAGATCCGCAAAGATCTGCAGTCTATTTCAAACAGGATTCAGATGCTTCTGGAAGCTCATAAATTGGATATCCTTTTTTATCTATCTAGAGTAGCATTGGGAAATCTTTTGATCAAGATGAGCATTCCTCAAGCTTAAATGAAGCCACATATATTTTTCTTCAGTCTTTCTCTCTCCTTGCCACCTATTTGCTTTCTCCTCTTTCTTTCTAATAGTCTTTTTGCTTAAGATCTAAACTGAACCCCTACCCCTTATCACTGACTTGCAGATTTTTGCATCTATACTCCAAGATATTTCTTTTGGTTCTATGGAACTATCATAACTAACATCCAGTAACAGACTTCTTTTTATATTAACTAGATTGATCAAAATACCGTAGACTAAGCTGCTCCAGAAAAAAAAACTTCTACAACTACATAATCAAAACAATTAATTGTCTGCAGGACATATTAACCTGCACAACATAATCCTATCATCTCTAGAATGAAGACTGTAAAATTCATTTCCCAAGATTTTATTTATTGATACCTATAGGGCTGTAGAATTCTTTTATAAAGGAGCTTTAAATACATGGTGCCTACTAATTATCACACAATTACTTGCTAGGATAGAAGTTGGAAACAAACAATTGGCAGTTTCAATGCATTTATAGGTGAGGAGGGTGTTGGGGGGAACTGGGTAATTTGCATCTGGAAAAACTGGTACCACTTTAAAATACAAATTACAAATACAAATTAATATTTTCTGGAAGCTTTGTATAATAGGAACTAATTTCAATGTAATTACAGACAGATCCTGTAATGCTATCTGTCAAAAAACAATGTTTGTCTTGTGGTAAAAAGAAAAAGGGAGAAGAATCAATGAGAAAGGAATGCTAGGATTAAAACATAATGTATGTCTGGACCTATACCATATGATTTTTAAATGACACTAATCCAAACCAAACCATATTACAGTGTATGGTGATGTGCTGACTACACCAGTGGAAAGCTGCTGTTACTCTCCTGATTTGAGGTTTGGTCTAGATGGCTGAATCTTCTTCTCTGCTCCTCAGTAAAATTACTTTTATGGGCTTAGCCATTACAAAATGATGCCATGTTTAAAAACACTGTAAGTTACAAACTTCTCCCTGGAACAAAGAAGTGCTCAGCTGAAACAGAATTTCCTATATGAGTATGCAGCATTTCCTCCTTCTCTGTCTATGTCCCTCCTTCTTGTTCCTGAAAGTTGATTGACCCCACTTAGGAGGACCATTCCTTAAGGTAGGAAAAATTAAAGCAAAAGTGTAAAACAGTTTGCTTTATTTTTGCTAGCAGTTCCTTAAGTTAGATCTGGCTTAAGGGTTCAGAAAACAATTTCTCACTTAACTCTAATGGAAAGATATTGACGAAGGAGCACCTCTGTCAAGTTGACATGGATCTTTCAGAAAGTATCAGCTACCAAAACACAGTCTCCGAATGATCAAACATGCTTGGTCTGAATTTGAGCTTAATTTCGTTTAGGGTTTGTTTACTGAAGGTCTTAAGGCAAATGATACTCTGCCTTCCCATATTTGCCTCTTGAATTGGTACGACTTATTAATCTTAGAATACTGAAAAGACTACAGCTGTGGAAGGAGAGAAAAAACAGATTTCCCGCTGAGGGTTAGTCCTGTTGCTCTCCTGAAGGCAAAAAGATAATGAAAATGTCCCGTGATTCTTTCAAGATTAATACATTTATAGTGGCAGAAATTTTTACAGATTGTGTAGGGATACATGAGGGGACTTCAATTGCCAGCATTCACAATCACACATGGGTTTAGAGAGAAAGAAACAGATTTAAATGACAATAAAATGCAAAACAGGGCAACCTTTGGCAATTCCAGGTTGCCAACTTGAAATAGATATGTGATAGATGATTTTAACACTCTTTTATTCTTAACCTCTCTTTATTTTCTCTGTACCTGTGTGTGAAAATATGATACTAATTACAATAATAATATAACGTAATGTAATGTAATGTAACGTAATGTAATATAATAATATAAATCACATATCTACAGACATATACAATAACTGAAAATAGCATTTCATGCATTTGATGAAAAATGAAACATAGCCAGGAGAAATATTTCTTCATGGATGATGATGACATTGATTTCTCTGAAGTGTCTTCTTCAGTCCTGACAATAATAATGTTCATAATATGGAGAGCACTGAGTCTTTTCTAGTCCCTTCTCTAATGGCAAGTGACTCTGAGCAGCCTACAACTCCCATATTCAGACTTCAGATTAGAAACCATTAAAATAACAAATAAATAACATATAAATAATTATGATCC